TTCTCCCCGCTGCTGGGGTAATAATACTCCCCTGCCTGTTGAACAGGAGGAAACTGAGGGGTGCTGTGGACCAACCAGAAACCCTGATTTTTATCCAGCAGCACAACACCTGAGGAGCAGAGATATTAAAATAGTAAGAAAAATACATCAGACGTTTTCCCTGAAGATGGTTAATGTGGACATTCAAGTGAAAACAAAATATATTTATCTATGCTCATTTGTTTTTACGCATCAGAGGAAATGTAAGTAATGCGCATTAATCTGCACTTCTTTTTTAATAAGTAGAATTAGAACATATAAATGATGAAAGAAGAACGTGAGGTTGATAAGGAGATGTTTCAACATGTTTTTATTACTATAACAAATCTTTGCCAGACTTTTTTTTGCCCTTGTTGCAGCGTTTTTAAATCTTCCTAGTATCAAATTTCTAATGAACATACTGTATACTTTTCATGTAAGTAAAAAGAGGAGCTTGAACATGTGATAGGTTGTCTTTATGCTTTTTTTATTTAACGTTGATTTAAAAAATTTTGCTTTTTCCATCCATTCGCTCTTTATCCACGACCAGGTTGTGGACAGGGGCATAGTTTCCAGGGGGGTTAGGGGGGTTATGACCCCCCCAATAATCAGACCCAACCAATATAACCCCCCCCCCAAATAAAATTATGAAATATCTTGCATAAAAAAGCTGTTGATTTTCTTTACTCGTTTCAGGTATTACCAGCAAAAGAGTTGCATGTTTAATCATCTGGGAATTTAGGCAGATTTATTTATTTATTTAGACGGAGATCTTTACACCCCCACCTCCCAATGTTCAGCACAAAGTTACGCTGATGGTCGTGGACCAGTCTAAGCTTAGATGCCCAGATGTCTCTCTCCCTAACCACGTTATCCAGGGGGACTACCAACATGTTCACAAGCTAATCAAGAGATATAATCTATCTGGCAAGTCTCAGGCCTACCCCAGATTCTCCTCCTCTTAGGACATGCCCGGAACACCTCAACTGGCTCATTTTGGTGTGGAGTAGTGCCCCCTACTCATCTCATTTTTTTCATACTATTCCAAGATTTTGGAAAACAAAGCTCGAAACTTTCTGCAGTCTTGGGACAATCAGAGAGCTCACCTTTCGTGTGACCCCCTCTGCTCTCACTGTTATGAACCCATCTGTCACCAGACGAGTCCTCGTGTGGCTTCTGGTCATTGTAAAGGATGTATGCAATGTCTGTATTCTGTAAAAAAACAAAAACAAAAAGGTTTTTAACTGTAGCTTCATGCATGTGTACTCACCGATCATAGAAGATGTAGAAACAAATGTTTTCACCTCAAAAGAAAACAAACAAATAAATAAAATGGCACACACTGACATCCATCACTTTCGGTGATGTTAACCAATACAATTACACACAGATGGTTGTATCCAGTAATTTTTGATTCAGAATCGTATCCACAAACTCTCTGACATGTTTTGATGAATCTATCAAGTTTTCAATTAGTAAATGACCTTTTCTGCCTCCTAGTTGCACAATCACCAGCCAGAAAGACAGATCACCTGAATGAACAGATGCAGTTTCACTTCTCATTATATGTTTGTTCCTCTGATCTAACAATGTCAACTGGATATAGCAGATGTCTATGAAAAAAATGCTTATTATTGCATATCATGTTGGTGAAGTCTTGTGACTGGGGTCACAAAGAAGAAGCAGGAAAAATGTAAATACCCTAAGCTCAGTGGTTTTCTAGGACTAAAATCTGCACGTAAGCATAACTGCTCTGCATGTAGTTAAAGCAAAGAGTTACTGCAGTTAACAGAAGTCGATGCACCAGCACTGTCTGTCACTTTTGGCTATTGTGATAAACAAAAATGTATTTTAAGTTTTGTGAGTCGTAAGAATTGGAAGTTCAACTCAACTTTATTATACATGGTTTTGGGAGAATATTACATTTTATCTTGTGACAAATCAGTATTTCTAAAACATGACATCATTTTTGGGGTCAAATATAAACTGAAGGTCCACTCATCTTAAAACAGCTGACGTTTTTTTGCCTTTTAGCATTAATTGTGAATATACTAAATCAATTAATAATAAGGAACTTAAAAGAGTATGATAATCACATTTTGAAGAACACTTGCTTTCATTTGGGTGTTTTTCCAAATGAAACTGAGCTTACAGTTTTTAAACTTTGTACTCAGTTCCACATTTGTAGCAGAAAAAAGAAACCTGATGGAAACAAACCTTCCCCTGCGTGTACAGCTGTCCGACCGTCCTGCCCAGGGCGCTCGTGGTGTCATTCACTGTCCCCTTCCCTTTAGTCCATCCTTCACTTCCTTGGTCCAAAAGCAAATACATCTCACCTTGTTCAGGAGACTTACTGCCATGCTCTTTGGGAAGTTTGTATATATAGAACCTAAATCAGAGACACAGACAGAAAGGCTGTACATGTAAGAACTGCTTATATTGGTGCATGTCTGTAAATGCTAAACTGTTATTGAAAATATTGCTTCTGTTTAATCAGAATAATACATCTAGGTTAAAACAAACAAATAAGGAGGACTTTTGTACGTGATTTCTCAGGAATTGTTATCAATGAATTACCAATCAACAGCATCTCCTTGGTCATTGTAGCAACTGATTGGTGAGCTGCTGCCCTCTAACGGCACGTAGAGGATCAGCACGGACAGGAACAGAAGCATCTAAGAACAAGAGACAGAGATATTAATAACTACGGTTAAATATGTGTATATGTGTTAGGAAATTAAATGATGAGTTCACGTTCAAAATATTTGGTTGAAGCTCATTTTTTCTTTTTACCAATAATGACTCCTTCGTAAAGAGTTTCAGTATTCTCAAGTAAAAGTACCAATAAAACAGTGTAAAGTCTTTTTTGTTGGAGTAGAAATGTTAAAGTATAAGCAGAAAAATGTCCAGCCACTGAAGGGTTTATTTATTTATTTATTTTTATATTTTTCATACCCATGCATTAGTGGCTATACACTATCATCGGTAAGTTAACCTCATCTTGTGACTTGTTGGAAAATGAATGAAAAGAAACATTTAGTATTACCGTAAAAACTAAAGCTCCTGACTACAAAAATACTGCATAAAAACAGAAACAATGATTTTAATATGAAAACATTTAACTAATATTTATCTTCAGCTAAATCTAATAATACTTATGGTTTGATCCTATAAATCAAAGCACAAGTCACTCAGTCGCTGGAATCGTTAGCGGTTACAGATAACTGCGATAGAAAAGTGAAAAGTGCAGTATAAGTTTGAGTCAACATACCCTCACGTATGTTCTCAATAAAGTCTTGTTTTATTTTGCTGCACGAAGATCGGCTGTGGCCTCAAGTTTCGTCTTCTTCGAGTACATCCCAGCCTACAAGTGTTTCCTACAGGGACTGGTACGTGCTTGTTTTGATCTCGGCCGAAAGCTCCGGGAGGAGACAATGACGTATGACAAAGACAACGGAGCGATCGCTACCAACGGCAGACATTACATTACAGGGAAATTATCGCACTAAAGAAATAAAATCCAATTAATCCTAAATAGCTTTCACGGTTTAGGCGTGAAGACTGTTTTAAGTGCTCCAAAACTTCGAAATTTATCCTTCTCAAAAAGTCCTAGTTTCATGAAGTCATGTGGTTGATGACGTCAACTGGTAGGCGGTACTACCCTGAAAAGCGGCTATTACAAACACCTTTCATAATATAATATAATATAATATAATATAATATAATAATTAGACTTCTTATAACAGAAGCAGATTGAACTTTCCCCCTACTTTAAAAAGACATTTTCAGTATTTTTCCCCTTGAATATTGTTAGTTTAAAACTTAGTTGCATAACTGTAGGTTTTAAAGACGTTCCTGAATCTGTTGGAGCCCAGAAGGACCTCTAAATCACCTGGGTTCCATGAATATTATGGCAAATATATCTTCCTTCCTGTATGGTCTTTGATAAGCAGCCAGTAATCTGTCTAACAACGGGGGAAGTGATACAACATGTTCGGCTCAACCCTATAAACACACACTCATCTTAAAAGTGGAACTTGAATTTGGTAAGATGAACTTCTGTTGTTTCTTCCTGTTTTACTCTTTCACAATTTAGGTGAAAAGTGTGGCTACACACACACATATATATGTATATGAAGATATATATATATATATGCAGTATTTATGCTTTCTTCTTCAGTTCCCCCTACAACCCTGTCTCATCTTATATAACTCTATACTGTTTAAGGAAGTGACACAGCATCCTCTTGTCAACTGCCTTGATCAACGAGGGCTTCCTCAGAAAGCTGTCCTCTGAGCTGAGTGGACTAAACAGTATTGCTCTAAGAGCCCCACTTAAAGTGGCCCTGATTATTGCCTACAGAAAGTGACCACGGGTTGCAGTGACTACAATGCTCTGTTTTAAAGCAAATACACTGAGGCAGTGTTAACAATTAACTTCACAACTGGTGTTTTTATGTTAACCCTAGTTGACTGATTCTTGTTATTAGAGTTACATGAAATTTTGGGGGACATTTTAAATTGAAAGTAGCCATTACAGCTGGTTAGTGATTATCTGTTACCTTTTTTTTGCATAGACTGAAGAAAATGTTACATACATCTAGAACACTGTTTAACGAGTAACTACTGATTTCCTTTGAGGTTACGTCACATTATTAAAGAGAAATTCAGGAACACTGAGATAACACCTGTTTTCAGACTATGAAGTCTGTAAAAAATTAACAGCTTTATCTTAGCCTCGCCTGTTCCCTAAAAGGCTCATCTATTCATATGTGAGTGTTTTATGTGCGGAGGGGGATTTTTTAAAGATTAAACATTATCACAAAGTTGTGGGAATGTGAACTAGAACAGCAAATGATGCCTAATGATGAAGATAGCAGAACAGGTCTTATGCATCCCTGTGTCACAAGCAAAATGCCTGTAGTTACAGGCTACTACAAGATTTATATGTACAGACATAAGGAAAATTAAAGAATACACTCTCCAGGATGCATTTGATTTATTTTGGAGAACTAGCCCCAGCACTTCCTGAACTTGGAGCTCACTGTTATTTCTGTTGTGCTACATTAGATCTGTACAAATAACGACAACAATAGAATTCAGCAGACTGCCTCCTTTACAATTAGGACACGCGCACACACACAGCAACCATTCAAGAGCTCATTGCAGACATTCAATACAATGGAATAATTCCAGAGCAGAGAAATCACATATCTACTGATCCTGGTTACTGGAAAAAATTAACTAAAAGTAAACTTCTCATCATGAACTCTCCTAATTTACATTAACAGCACTGTTGCTCAAACATTAGCGTTTTTGCTCCAATTTTTGACAACTTTAACACTATTAGGAGATACAGCAATTCCACCCCAACCCCCAACACAAAGCATTTTGGGGTTAAAAAAATGTCCTCTTTAAATAGAAACTTAAGCAGGGAGGCTACATTGGCAGTTGGCACACACAGCAGCCCCACACTTTTGGGTTTTATTCCATCTCAGGTTTGCAGCAAGCGTGGTAGTTCGGTCCTCTGCTCATCCATGCGTCCCCCCTGGACCCTCAGGAGGAGGGAGAAGAAGTCCTCATCATCCATGGGACCTGGAGCCCTGCTGCGCTGGTCCTCTAGCCTGCCCTGAGCCTGTGGGTCAAAACAAATTGTGAAAATGAAAGCAATGCAGTGAAAGTAGGCAAAAGGTTTGCTGCCAACACTCTTTCTCGCATTAGTGAGAAACTAACTTTTCTTCTCTGAAACAAAGCAGAAAACACCTCAGCTCACAACAAACACATCTAAACAAACAAGCTCATTGCTTACTTGTGTGGTTAGAATCATATCGTACAGATCATCTTTGGGCGCAGGAACTGGTGCAGGCTTTTTCACAGACAGGGACAGTTGTCTTATGCTCCCTCTGACACTTCTGGTCTTTGTTTTTGGTGGTGAAGACCTTCCAAGCTGTGCCCTCTGATCCTCGAGCCGTCGTCCTTGTGCAGTGGCCACCAGGTCAAAAAACTCCTCTTTCTGCAGTGAAGTCATGGAGGAAAAGACGACTGTAAAGAAATGAGAGAGAAAAGAGCTTAAACGGTCAAAAGACAGGGGAAAGGCAGTGGTCAGTGGTCAAGGAAAAAAACATGGAAACATGGTAGCTGAAAATTCCTGAGCCAGGGAGAATGGGTGGCTACATTTGATTCTGCTTGTTCAACATGAGTCATAGCTCAAAAACAAATGCAAAAGTTGTATCCTTTTCCACACTTTACCATGGCAAAACAGAGCGCTTACCTCTGTTAACTGGTTTGGAGGTGTTGGGCTCAGAGTGGCACCTCCTCCGCCTGACCCCACTCTCCAGCCTGAAGGAGCAGCGCTGGTCATTGAGCCGTCTGCCCTCCTGAAAGGTGCAAAGCAGGTCATACAGCGCCTCTGGGAAGTCAGGGGTTAACCGGTGAGCCTGAGAAAACACAGGTGGGAGGGTGAAAAAGACGGAGGGAGAGAGGAATGGTTTCTGAGTGAATGGCACAGACTGTTTGTTGGCAAAGCAAAAGAATCCACTCCTACGTACTCCCACATGCTCTGAAATAAAGTGGTACCTGCAGTTCTTCCACCGTGAGACTGTTTTTCTCTTGCAGTGGCTGGTGGCAAAGTGTTAAAGTCAACTGATTTACAACACAGGTAATCTCAGGGTAAGAAGAGCAAATACCAACCTTTTTGAGATCTTCTTTGTGGTCTGGTCCCCCCTCGGGTTGTAGCTCAGATGAATTTAGCTTGTTTGTGTCTGCCTCAGGGTCATACTGTGTGGCCTTTTCATCCTCTGTGCTACAGAGTTTTTCAGTTTTTTCTTTAAGCACTTCATCCGGCTGCCCTTCACTTTTACTGTCATTTCCTTTGAGTCCATCATTTGTGCTTTCTGTTATCTCTGGTTTGTCTTCTTCTCTGGTTATCTGCTGTTTCTCCAGGCTTTGCTCTTCTAAATTTATTTCACCCGCTATTTCTTGTTGACTGTTTTCCTCTTCTGTGTGCTCCTCTTCCTTTTTGATAGCAAACTCCTCGCTACAGCTTTGTACAGTGACATCTGCACCGCTTGGCGCCCTAATTTCAGTAATACTTTCTACCAAATCTCCATCTTCAATGATGACAAGAGGCTCCAACAGCTCCTCTTCAGCCATTTCAACTTTGATATCTGTGTTGTCCAGTGGTCTTTCTTACAATCCTTATGATCCTTGTGAGAAAACAGAAAGAAGCTGGAGGTGGATAAAAAAAAGGTGATCCAAAATATCAGAATTCAGTTAGTACTTTAAAAAAATACCATAAGGAAAAACACGACATCTATAAACACTGAAACTTAAAAGCATGATGAGTACCGCAGAGCTGCTGTGCCTTTCTTTTGAAACAAAACATGTGAGAAACCAGTTTGACAGGTTTCAGCATGTGGGCAACAGATGTTTAGGCAGAAATTTAAAAGAAACTTGAAGTCACAAACTCCTCCTAGCTATGTAAAACGTTCGACTATGTGATCACAAATGTCAGGGTCTTGTTGGTAGGTGATCACTGTTGTGTATTTTCCCAAACAGTTCAGTCGAATAACTCTTGTTGACAGATCACATTGTTATTTCCCCCTAAAGCTACTGTCTACCACAAAGTGATTTAAATTTCAGTTAATTTTTGCCCTTACCTTTTCGTTCGCCTCGTTTCTTTTTATCTTCTCAAAACATCATCTTTCAAAGTCTTGATCCAGTGAACACAGCATTTTTGGCTTATCACTCGTCCTGTCAACGTTTTTATTAAGAGCAAAGAAGAAAAAAAGAAAATCTGCTAGTTTCACATGCCGTCGTGATGAGCTCTCGCCTTTTCTATCTGCCCTGCTACCTTCTGTCTTTCTCTCATCTCATCTCTTCCTGTTCCTCTTACCACAGCCCACCCCTATTTACTCGGCCCATATTTGACAAGTCAGGTTGACATGAAATATTACTGTTAAAAGCAGAATCACTCTCTATATGTGCGATGTGTGTGGTTAATGCAATCATGTCCCAAAGGAAAGGATTTATAATGCCCATGTACACTTGTTAAAGAAGCTGCTGCTTTAACTGCTGCTCATTTGGTTATGTTAACCCCAAGTGCAGCATGTTGAAACAGGCGCAGTTTTTTTCTTAACTCTGTGGTTTTCACATCCTGTTGACTTGCAGCTAAAACGAGAAGTAGACTCAGACAAGTAAGGGAAGCTGTCTAAGCGAGATTATTACTTGAAAAACAAGGCTGAAAAAGAAGTTTATTTTATTTGAATGCTTCTGTTAGTGCTTGTAGCCACGTTTTTCATTCTAAAAAGAGAAATAAGTTAGGAAACTAGGGAATATCACATTTAATTTTTTTTTAAAGTTAACACGTGAGTATCATAAGAAATATGTGGCTGAAAATGAAATGTGCAGCTCTAGTAAAACCCAAACTTGATTAGACAGAAAATCTGCTTAAATAGCCAGAATCAAAATAGAAAAAGAGAGGTTTTCCAAAGGCAAAACATTTTAGAGCCTATTTAGAATAGTTACCCTTTACACACACGTCACCTGTATATTATTTTAAGGTAGTTATACAAAAAAAAAGAAAGTCTCTTTCTTAGCCTAACATCTCCCACACAAGATGAATCTGTTTGCCCCAGATTCAGTTTGTTGGGATCTGGAGGCCCTATCAAAAAGCCACATAAACTACTTTTGTATAATTAAATGTCATTTCTTTGTTATCCACCCACGCACATGCAACCACCCCCGCGCACTTCTGCTTTGTGAAAATGCAGGGAGTGCAGATGTTTTGCTGTTGTGGTTACCTTTAAACCAATAGTGCTACTCCACCGTACCCACAGCGACGCTTTGTCTATCACGCGCTGCACTGTGCATGCACATTTTGCACCGTTTCCTGTCAGTCGCTAGGGGACCCAACTCTGTGCGATGTCTCTGGTCTGTGTTGTGTCTGTGAGCACAGTCGGGCAGCAGTCGTCGCCACTGTGCGTCGCCGAAGATGTTGCAGCAGCAGCAGCCTCTGACGGGCAATGGGCCATCCAACGGCCGGGGACTCGGCGTGAGTGGCCACCCCGGGATGCACGCGCTCAACTCAGTTCACCAACCCTCCCAGCATCGGCCCGACGGAGCGGAGTCGGGCCTCGAGGGTACAGAGAACGGACATGAAACCCGCAGAGATATTGGGGACATACTGCAGCAGATAATGACTATTACCGACCAAAGTTTGGACGAGGCACAAGCAAAGTGAGTCACAGCTATGCTTTCTTTCTTTTTAAAAATTGTTATTTAGTGGTATTGACGCTGCAGCGGTATTTTGTTGTGCTGCTTTGTCGACTCCGTCTCGCAGTGACAAAGTTTCCTGAACTTCACTCTATTGTTTAGATTATTCAGCTAGAAGCTAGCTAATTAGCTGGACTAATGACATAAAGTTGCTTTTGGTGTAACCTGTGCAGATTCAAACTCACATGCCAGTGTTTACTGTTTCTGTGCTGTAAGTTAGGAACACGCATTTCTTTCAGCAGCGGCTGTTTAATATGTAGCTTTTGTTAGCATGCTACGCTAACCAAGGCTAACAAGCTAATGCTAAAATAGGTAGCTAAGGACCGTGCCGATATAAATGTTAACACTGCGCTACAACACGGGTTATAATTTAATTACATAGTAAACAACTAAATATACTATCTAACATGTTGGCTGTCATATGCAGACATACTAGCAGTGAAAGGTTACCCCCTTAACTATCAGCTAGCCAGGAGCTAACGTTTGCTAAATTAGCTCGGCTAAATGTTGTCACTTTGTGATTTCTGTTTTTGTTTTGGTCGATTTGCATACTGTCATTCTATGCCTTTGTTTACAAATAGACTGGTAGGTCATGTTTGTTCTTTTTTATGTGCAGGAAACATGCGCTCAACTGTCACCGAATGAAACCCGCTTTGTTCAGCGTTTTGTGCGAGATCAAGGAAAAAACTGGTAGGTTTCTGCTCTATTTGCAGGAGTTTTCTTGTGCTCTCTGTCAACAGCCATGGCTTTAATTTTGTTTGGGAGCGTTATTAGACTGTGTTGACATTCTGTCATCAGGAACCAATAAAGTCATAATCTGAATTGCCAAGTAAACACACAGACATAGTTTTTATACTTTCAGAGTTAAAAGAAAAATAATCCGACAGCCCTCTTAATAAATGCTTATTGGAGTATAAGTGGACTCAAATGACAACAGCTGGACAAACATAAGGTACGATTGCTACAGTGCAGTATATTACAGTGCAGTATATTATAGTCATATCAGGTTGCTGTCAGGACTATATTATCTTTAAGCTGCCACAAGGACTGATAAAGTAAATTCCTCATTCTTCCTCATTCTACATCACCTGTATTGACTTTGTATAGATTTCTTCGTAATAAGCTAATTTTGTATTATATTTAGTATTCATGATGGGAAAAAAAGGGTTGTTAAAATAGTTCAGAAGCATTAAGAAAAGGAGCAAGATGGTATACAACAAGAAGAAGTGCAATGCAAATAAATAAATAAAAAGTCAGTGTACAGAGGTGGTAAGCTCTTGTACACTATATACACACATAGATGTGATTTTTATGCATTGGGATATTTTTCTTTATTTTATTTTTAAAAATATTTTCTACTTAGCTGTGCGCCTTTTTGAGTAATGCTTAACTTATTGCGGGTTGAGGGTTGTTTTTATTTTATTTAAGCTGTTGTGTTATATGTTGTGTCTAATGTTTTGGCCATGATAACACAGGAATTTTCCAACTTTTTCTTGGGATAAATAAAGCTGACTTTATCGCATTTTATATGCATTATAACGTCAAATTCTACATCGAAGCATAGGGTCAGCTCACTGCATTCATTTATATAACAGAAGGGCGATGAGTAATCTTTCATTTAGATTTCACTTATAGTTGCACTTTAAAACCAGCAAAAAACTAGATTCTTCTAAATTCTTCTTGTAAATTTTTATCTTTCAAATGAAAAAATTAGATTATTTATGACCTCTGGTGATAAACTGGTGATATAGTTTAAAGACTTTGACTTTATTGTAATTGTCCCCTTCCAGTCATTAAACTATAATCTTTGAACCATGAGTGACAGATCTAGAGTTGCAAGATATTTTACAATATCTGTCATAGGGTAAAGGAACCTGTACAGGTATGATGAACACTTAAAATAACTAGGTTGCACCAAGGTACAGTCTGAAGTGAAAATGTTATGAGAGTGATGCACAAAACAAAACGAGAGCACACAAAGAACTACTTATCTATTTCCAAACATGGTTCCATCATTATTATTATTTTTTTATGGTTCATTATTTGGAAAGGCTTTGGTTTAAGAGAGTTGCGAGTCTTTTACCTTCAAAACCAAGAGACTTTTGTCTCATTGACAGGCCTTTCAATGAGGAACACCCAGGAGGAGGAGCCTCAAGATCCTCAGCTGGTGCGACTGGACAACATGCTGCTGGCGGAGGGCGTAGCGGGGCCAGAGAAGGGTGGCGGGGCTGCTGCTGCTGTTTCTGCTGCCACCAGCTCTGGGGGGATGTCACCTGACAGCTCTCTCGAGCACTCCGACTACAAAAGCAAGTTGAGCCAGATTCGCAGTATCTACCACACTGAGCTGGAGAAGTATGAGCAGGTATTGTGTCGCAACAGCAGCTTAGCACTGACATTGCCTGTACGTGCTTGCTTGTACTAGAGGTACCTGGAAGCAATGTTGTACACTGGCATGCTAGATCAAGAGTTCACAGCACATAACTTTGCTTCAGGGCGGATTCATTCCTTTCCATTTGTGTCAGGTATGACTCAGTAAATCTTTATGTTGAGAGGCATTTTAGGCTTATTAGACCAACAAGCTCCACTGAAGCCCTACTTGTGCGCTAGTATCAAAGAGAAAATTAGATCTGCTATAAAATCCTCTTGAATGCAACATACAATTAAGTTCCCGAAACACAAACCTTTGCCCTATACTTAAGATTAAGGATATGCTGATATCAGTCAGGGGTGTCTATCTGACTGTGGTCATGTAGTCGAAAAGCTACTCCAAGGCAACCAATACCACCCTCCAGCAATCAATATTAGTTTATAGTAAAATGAAGATTTAAATGTTTTAGAGTTTTAAGAAGAAAACCAAAAACTATACAAAGTATACTCTGTCACATTTTCAAAGGCGGATTTTTTACAACCTCTAAGAACAAAGAGAGCGGCATATTCAAGGAGACCAAGTATTAGATCCCAGTCATCACCTCGTCATAAAAACTGTATTTCCAAACTTGCGCCGATCAGTAGCTAGTTGCAGGACTTTCCGCTGACATTTGTAGTAGAACTGCCAGGTAGGGGTGGGCGATATACACGATATATGATAGAAACGATATAAATTTGGCCAACGATAGAGATTTTGACTATACCGCTCTATCGCGATAGCGCATGTTGATGATGTCATCAAGCTACGCCTGTTTTGGTCGAAAGCATCGCAGCGGCTAAAACCATTATCATCTACAAATTATGCCAGGCGACAGTCATAGCAAAGAGATGAAGCACTTTTGAAATATGGGGAAAGCCAAAAACTGCGCTTCCTCCACTTCCGTAACATTGATTCATTAATGTTGAATTCTCTCGCTGCTGCTCTATTCCCATGTTGTTGCAGTATATTAATAACCAACCTCGTATTGTGGATGAATAATCTCAGTTGTTCTCCTGACTGAAATTTGGCCCGTGTATAGCATCCTGCTATGCGATTGCATTTGTCCCTGACCACCAGAATCCCTCACGTTAACTTTTATCGAGTGGAAAAAAAGTTGGCGTTCATCCTCCAGCTTCACTGTGCTAATGTTATGCTAACATAGCTGTGTCGCTAGCAATCACGTAGCACAACATTATATACCAGGTAGTCCAACTTCAGTAACCCTGCGAAGGCCACTGCTGTTTAGTTTCCTGTCTTCATTTATGTTGGAAGTGGTAGCAGAGCTGTACGTTTTAATTAGTTTCAAAAATCTCCCAGTCAGAACATGGTATGAAATGTTTAGGTGGAAACTA